ACACATATACCCATGCATATGTAGTGTAGTTCCTTGCTTGCGAGTACTTTGGATGAGTACTCACGGTTGCTTTCTCCCCCCTTTTTTTTCCCTTTTCCTTTCTTTCTGGTTGTCGCAACCAGATGCTGGAGTCCAGGAGCCAGACGCCACCGTCGACGACGACCCCTACTACACCGGAGGTGCCTACTACTACGTGCTGCCCGCTGACGACGACCTGGAGTAGTTTAGGAGGATCCCAGGCAGGAGGCCTGCGCCTCTTTCGATCTGTATCCCAGTTTGTGCTAGCCATCTTATGGCAACTTGTTTAACTTATGTCTGTACTCAGATATTGTTGCTTCCGCTGACTCGTCTATGATCGAGCACTTGTATTCGAGCCCTCGAGGCCCCTGGCTTGTATTATGATGCTTGTATGACTTATTTTATTTGTAGAGTTGTGTTGTGATATCTTCCCGTGAGTCCCTGATCTTGATCGTACACATTTGCGTGCATGATTAGTGTACGATTGAATCGGGGGCGTCACAGTGGATGGTTGATGATGACGACGGCGACGAATCCCCCTCTCTGAAGCCCGAAACAGACTCCAGATCAGCCCTCCCAAGAGAGATTAGGGCTTGGCGGCGGCTCCGTATCGTAAAACGTGATGATTTCTTCTCTCTGATTTTTTTCTCCCCGAAAGCCAATATATGGAGTTGGAGTTGGCGTCGGAGGGCCACCAGGGGGCCCACAAGGTAGGGGCGGCGCACCCAGGGGGAGCGCTCCCACCCACGTGAGCAGGGTGTGGGCCCCCTGGTCTTCATCTTTTGCGAGGATTTTTCTTTATTTTTTCTAAGGTGTTCCGTGGAGTTTCAGGACATTCCGAGAACTTTTATTTTCTGCACAAAAAACAACACCATGGCAATTCTGCTGAAAACAACGTCAGTCCGGGTTAGTCCCATTCAAATCATACAAGTTAGAGTCTAAAACAAGGGCAAAAGTGTTTGGAAAAGTAGATACGACGGAGACGTATCACGTACCCGACCCCAAGACTGGTTCAATCCGTACGATGTCGGTTTCCCAACTTCGAGGCGGCGGGGGGGAGGGGGGTGTCGTCCAACGCATGCGCTCAAACTTTATTTGGTCTAACATGGCACACATAGTAATAGGAAACCATCATGGTCAAACCTTTCTCGTTGTTGGGTCAAAGGGATAGATTGTGTGGGCCCCTCTCATTGTCGGTAAAGGATAATATATATACCTCGGGGAGCCCACAGATATGTGCAACGTTTATAAACCGCACAAGGGAGACATGCTTGATCAGAACACCCTACCCCCTATATCCTGCATGCGACCTAAAAAAGGTTTATATAATCGTCATGATAGGTCACCATAGAGTCAATCGTTCTTTAATTTTTCAGAGCAAAAAATAATCAATAAAAACATAGTCTACAAATTAGCAAAACAAGGATCCCAAGGTTTATATAATCGCCATGACATGTCACTATAGAGATATTTATCTCTTTATCTCTATAATGACCGTGTCATAGCATTTAAATGAAGCTTGAGATATGTAACTTCCCATCAAGTCACCCATCCTTGGACTACTGCAACCCGAGCACGCTTAACTTCTGCATTCTATTCGACTAGGCTAGCGGATGGGAAGCCGCACCTTGCTGATAGGAATTGCCTCCTTGCCTTTAAGGCGTTTCACGCTGGTCACCCTATGGGACCTACTCCCTCCTATCACACACATTTGTGCTTTTAGAAACAATGTGCGATATTTACATGGCCAGTGTGTCGCCACCCAGCCTTCAATGAGCACTGACACTGGTAGCGGGAAAACGATGGGAGAAAAGGCAGGAAACCAATGAGAGGAGTGACGGGAAACAGTAGCCTGTTTGGATATATAACAACATTAATATAGAAAACTTAGTAGAGAAGGAAGCGTGAGCTAGCACAACGCATGCGCACAGTGCTTACCCATATACTTCATGTGCTGTCGAAAGGGCTGAAGATTGTCGTTCAATCTGGGAGCATCCAACGGTGCAGACATACGATCCATGGGGTTTGAGTTCTGGCCAATCAGAACACACGACTCAGATCGCGCGCATAGTAGGGGGAGGGGGCAACGGCCATAGTTTGGTAGGCACACGACTTTCGTGAGTGATCCGTGTGCTATTTGAAAACATTTCGTGAGAAGAATCTCGGTTTTTAAATCCCCGTAAATCCAAAACTTGCCAAAAAATCATGAAACTTGGCATGGTGTCACGACATGGCACATATATGTCGAGGACTTTTTTTTGTCCATTTTGGCGCAAGTTTTATTACAAGCCTCTTACAAACTGGAGCTTCTCTCAAAGAAGACTCGTGGTTCCGATAGGGAAACGTGTCCCCCTTGTGGGCGAAACGATAATCATTGCCTCTTTTCCCCTTGTATTTTCTTCTACGGGCAACATGGAACGACAGGATATCTGCGCTGAAATTTAAACTTATTCAGGGTTCGTTTGGCCTTTTTATACACTAATTGAGTTTCCTAGGCATTTAATGTCCATAATTAGAATCTGAACTACAAATACATGCTCCAGTTCACCAAAATGGCTAGAAAAATTATACATGTGTCCTTGGGTGCATGATAGAAAAGCGCAAAGTTATGACGATATCTAAGGCAATGATCATGAATATAGGCATCATGTCTGTGACAAGTAGACCGACTCCTACCTGCATCTACTACTATTACTCCACACATCGACCGCTATCCAGCATGCATCTAGAGTATTAATTTCATAAGAACGGAGTAACGCCTTAAGCAAGATGACATGATGTAGAGGAATAAACTCAAGTAATATGATATAAACCCCATCTTTTTATCCTTAATGGCAACAATTCAATACGTGCCTCGCTACCCCTACTATGTCACTGGGTGAGGACACCGCAAGATTGAACCCAAAACTAAGCACCTCTCCCGTTGCAAGAAAAACCAATCTAGTTGACCAAACCAAACCAATAATTCGAAGAGAAATACGAAGATATATCAAATCATGCATATAAGAATTCAAAAAAGACTCCAATAATATTCATAGATAATCTGATCATAAATCCACAATTCATCAGATCTCAACAAGCACACCGAAAAAGAAGATTACATCGAATAGATCTCCACGAACAACGCGGAGAACATGGTATTAAAGATCAAAGAGAGAGAGAAGAAGCCATCTAGCTATTAGCTATGGACCCGTAGGTCTGTGGTAAACTACTCACATATCATCGGGAGGGCAATAGGGTTGATGTAGAAGCCCTCCGTGATCGAATCCCCCTCTGGCAGATCGCTGGAAAAGGTCCCAAGATGGGATCTCACAAGAACAGAAGCTTGCGGCGGCGGAAAAGTATTTTTGTGGAGGCTTCTGGTGGTTTGGGAATATTTTAGGATTTATAGAGCTGAGACGGAGGTCGGTGGACTCCCGAGGGACCCACAAGCCAGGGGACGCCCCGGCGCCCCCCTGGCTTGTGATGCCCTCGGGACTCTTCTGGCCCCCTTCCCAAGTTTGATAGGTGTCTTTTGGTCCAAGAAAAATTATCGCGAAAGTTTTATTCCGTTTCAATATTCCTTTCTAAAAAAGTCAAAAACAAGGAAAAAACAACTGACACTGGGAACTAGGTTAATAGGTTAGTCCTAAAAAATGATATAAAATAGTACAGTAATGCATATAAAACATTCAAGATAGATATATAGCATGAACAATAAAAAATTATAGATATGTTGGAGACGTATCAAACCCAGGTGCCATAAATAACATATTGATCTTACTACCACTTCACCACTATAACTTCGCTGTAATCTATCCCAAAACTGTTTTATTTGAAAGATGTTTCAGTCCCAGTACAAATCTTTTTTAAAAAGGAAACATAAATTTGAACAAGAATTCATAAATTTTAAAAAAGTTCATCAATTTTAAATAAAATATCATGGTTTTTCAAAGAAATGTTCGCAAAAACAAAAAAAATAAGTTCATTAATTTTAAAAAAGATAATAATTTTAAAAAAGTTCACCAGATTTAAAAATAAACAAAGATTTGAAAAAAGCTCATCGATTTTGATAAAAAGAAGTTCATGAATTTGAGAAAAGTTCACCGAGTTTTGAAAAAGCTCACAGAGTTGAAAAAAGTTCATCGATTTTGATAAAAAAAAGTTCACGAATTTGTAAAAATTTCAGTGCTTCTGCTAAAAAATTACAAATTTTAAAAATTTTCATCGACTATAAAAATATTCACAGATTTTCATAAAAATTTCATCAATTTTGAAAAAAAAAATTTGGACTCTGAAAAAAAATGTTGATCGATTCTGATAAGAAAAGTTCACGCATCTTGAAAAAATAAAGAAAACGGAAAAAAGAGAAAGAAAATTAAAAAAAGGAGAAAGAAGAAAAAGAATGAAACAAATCACGTGAGGTAGGTGGACTAGTTGGCTATTAGGTTAACAATGAACTAGAGATCGAGGGGTCGAATCCCGTCAAGGCGTAGGTTTTTAAGAACAGAAAACAGAATGGTAAACGGGCCGGTCCAACACGGATTAGGATTTGGCTGTTTGCGCTGATGCCTTTAACTGAGGGTGTTTTATAGGGACTTAAACTGGGCATTTGAGACTCATGAAATAAGAAATAAGACTCTTAAGAAGGAACTTATAAGGACTTATAGTTGTAATATAGTCTTATAGGAATTTATAAGTCCCAGAAACCAAACAGGTAGGGACTTTTTAAGGACTTGAAACTTATAAGTTAAAAGTCCTAGGACTTATGAACCAAACAGGGCCGTATTTGTACCCAACCAAACCCAGGGGCGGTTGCTTCAAAAAAAAAACCCAGGGGCGGTTCGGGGAAAGAGAGATAAACGAGGACTACTCCTCCAGTCCTCCTCAAGATAAACGAGGAGGTAAGATACTCTTCCTCTTATCCCCTTGCCTCGCGCCGCCGCCACCGGACCAATCCACAGCCAATCCAATCCCCCTCTGTCTCTTTTTGGCCGCCGGCGATGGCGCTGGTGCCCAACCCCAGCGTTCTGGGTATCCGGATCTGCCGGCCGAAAATCATATCTGACTACCCTTTGCCCGACGAAGAATCCAATTCCAGATCTTATCTGCTGAAGAAGATCGGCTCCTTCTACCGCAAGGCGCGGAGGCGGCTCGACAGCCGCCGCCGCCGCGTGCAGGCGCACGGCCTCTGCGTCGGCCTCCTCGACCCGGTCTCCAACATCGTCATCAACAGTATCACCGACTCCTGCAAAGGTGAGCGCAAACGCGAGGGCGAGGTTGTGCTACAGGAGGACCTGCGGCGCCGTTCGCTTGACGGCCTGGTGGTCTTCCTCACCCGCATGTTCCCCAACCTCGCGGAGGGCCTGGCCGTGCGCTACCTGCGCGTCGCCAAGGCCGACGTCCTCATCGCTGCCTGCATCATCGTGTCGGACCACGGCATCAAGGGATTCGGCAACTCCGAGGCCGAGCCTGCCCTCATCAACATGGCCCTCAAGTGCGCCGGGCTGGCCGCTAGGCACCCTGACCCCAAGCGCCTAGTCTACGCCTGGCAAAAGATCTGCAATTGCATGGAAGACGCCCTGGGCCTGCTTGAGATGATCCAGGAACCAAGCCGCATCTCGCAGGTCATCAGGCAGCTCGCCTTTATGGTTACCGAGGGACCGCCGGCCAGTGAATTAGCTGTGCGGCGTGCGTGGATGCTCGCAGAAGCTTCTGTTCGCCGCCGTCCCCGAAGCTTGCAACAACCGCACACTCACTTGTGCAGCCGGACGCTCCAGGACACAATCCACGGGTACTATCTCGAGGCCCTCGCTCGGCTGCCAGCAGGCTCTTGCTTCCACCGCAGCCTGATCAAGGCTGGCCACTGCTACGGCCCCCTTGACCCCGTCTCCAACATCATCATCAACACCATCTGGTACCACACCGCGTTCCCACCTTCCATGAAACTCGAGCTGAATGCGATTGGCACGCGGAGCCTCCACCGAGTGGCGAACCGCTCCTTGTACGGTCTGGCCTCCTTCCTATGCACGCGTTACCATGGCATTAATTTCCATCAAGCTGTGTGCCTCCTGCTCCAGGCAGATGGCAACCTGGCGCGCGCTGATCCCTTCCTTGATCCTGATTCCCACCTTCCCTATGGTCAAGTTCAATGCCACCCGGACACCGGTCCCAAAGAAGCCTTCCTGGCAGCTGCCACCGCAGCCTGTCACCCCAACCCAGACGCTCAAGTAAAGTTTCTCACTTCGTGTAAGGAGGTGCTGGAGACTGCCTTGTCTTTGCTGCGTCGGGACTCTCACAAGCTCTCCACTCAAGATGTTCAGCAGCTTGCCAGGTTGCTATCTCCGGAATCCCCCTATGATCATGACTCTGAGATGGCACTTCCTCCACTCCCCCTCAAATCTTACCCCCTTGTGGACCTAGCGGATCTGTATACAGTAGTCTCCAAGGGGGTCAATATTTTGTTGAATAAATATGAACAGATGCCAAATGGGGTAGGTTTGCTCTGCTTATTGTTGTTTATTGCTAACATTTCTCATCCACGGGCCTATGCTCACCAAATGTGTCGACTTACAGGATCCCAGGTACGAGCTTCATACGATTTGTGGTGTGAATGAGCGGGTTGGCGGTCCTGCTCAATGGCCTCCTCATGACCGTGGCCGCTTTCACGTCAACTTCCTGGCTACTCCCAAAAGCCCCTGTGGTGGAAAACCAACATTGTTTTTTGCTGAAATTCAAAGCGATGGCACATATGATTCCTTCTGTTGCCCTGTGGCTCTGCCTCTGCCATGTGCTGGTACGCTGTATAACCAACCCTATGCAAATATTTTTCAAGTATCTTATGTACTCCCTCCGTTCCTAAATATAAGTCTTTTTAAAGATATTAGTATGGAATACATACGGATGTATATAGACATACCTTGGAGTGTAGATTCACTCATTTTGCTCTGTATGTAGTCCATAGTAGAATCTCTAAAAAGACTTATATTTAGGAACGGAGGGAGTAGTCAGTATATTTTGCTGTATATGCCAACGTTTTTCACATGTCTTATCTAGTCAGTATATCTTGGTGTATATGCTATATACAGGGTCTGAACCACCATGGTGCATCTTTACCACAACATACCACTAGATTGTGTTTTGTTACTCCGCCAGCCTGAACCCTCGTATCTGGAGTGAAAAATAAAATTGTTGAAGAAAAGGAAGTGATGAAAAAGGAAACAGAAGTCGAATGCATATACTTGAATATCTCCATGTTGATATGTTAATGAAGTCGAACATTTCGATCAAGCAGCCTGCTATAGTGATCAGCATGTAGCTTGATGATCCCTTCACCATCGTGCTCATTTCCCAGGCAAGAAACTAATAATGGTTTACAATCAACTAGGACGGTCATCCATTCACCCTTTATTTACACATTACACATGGTTTATGTCAGCATTCTATGGCTCCATGCACTATGGAACTTATAAGCCGCAGGACATTTCATTTTTGATGTGTTTTTACGCGCACACAGTTTTATGCATTAACATTCAATACATATTAATTACCTCATGTGTTGGCAGCACAAATTCGGTGTGTTTACTGCGAAGCCATGGGGACTAGAATTGTGCATCCAGTTGCGATAAACTTCCGTGGCCGTGATTCGGCGTTTGAGATGCTGGCCCGCGAAAAAGACCCCTGTCAGCGCGAGGAAGCAACCTTGAGAATCATCAGCCATAGACGTCTCATGGCGGAGAATGTTCATTGCAAGGAGAAAGAAGATATCCTCTACGATGGGGTGGATGGGCACAGGAATAAGTTTGATAATGTGAGTTCCTTGAAGGTGGAAGAAGCTATGTTATTGGCACCACTTTGTCGCTATCTGTAAGGTGTTGTGGCATTGGAAAATACTGTGCCAATGCAAGACAAGTTAAAGTTTGTGTTGTCCTAGGAGTTGGGATGGTGCTCATGAAATTTAACAAGTGGTTAAGTCGTACTGTTAGAATATATCCAATGATGTGTGTTGGTAACGGCATTTGAATGTGCCAGCTGATTGTGTAATTGCAGTTTATACGCTCTAAACTAATTTAGAACTGCTTTGGTTAGCAATCATGCATCTTTGTTGTCAAATTTGGTTGTGCTGCTTTGAGATGTACTAAGCCTGAAGAAAATTGGTTTGCGGCCGAATCTAGCTGGGTAAGAAAAATCTTTTCATGGGCTGGGCTGTATATTGCAGGCAAGCTGTAAATATATAGGGTCTTCTATTCTTCTTCCTGGGTGAAAGGATTTTTATTCCTTGCCCTATATCCCTCCAGCCGATGCGCTACACACAAACTTACAGCCAACGAAGTCTACCATTAAGGCCTCGGGATCCCTGCCTATTCCCCGGGCGGAGAAACCACGGGCCGTGGTGACGACTGCAAGGCTTTCGTTCAGTGCTCGACTGCAAGGCTTTCGTTCAGTGCTCTGGCCTCCTCTGTCCGTCGATTGCGACGCCCCTGCGCTCCTCCCTCGAACGCTCCGCCCCTCTGGTTACGGCGATGGGACCAGGGTCGTCATCCTCCTCCCCGGATCTTGCCTCTGCCTCCAAGATTCTCATACCTTCCGGTGACGACGACCAGGAGATCATCCTCCTCTTCCACCCGCCATTTTTGCTTCTCCATGATGATGCCTTCCATGCTGCACACACTGACGAACGCATGTACAGATTCAAGAATAATTCACACCTGGATGGCATGTTTCTGTATTGCATGATTCTTTCATTCAATACATGTTTTTGTTAATTCATGATTATGTTAAATTCATTTCACTGCGGGAATACATGTTTCAATTAATTCATGATTTTGTTAATTTTAATACATGTACAGATTAATAATCCACCAATATTCACATTTTAGATTGCATGATTCTTTCATTCACAATACACTTCAAGAATGGAGCGTCATCCTGTTATTACTTCCATGTTTCTGTTAATTTCATCTCATTGCGGGAAATACATGTTTCCGTTGATTATGTTAGCTGAAAGGCGGTGCTTTAGTGTTTCTGCTGGGTTTTTCCTTTGATGTTTGGCTGCACTTTTGTGTCATTGTGATGTTTCGTCTTACAGAAAGTGGCACACACTCTGACAGTCGGCTGCATTGTTTCGAGAAGAACAAAACGGAAGCTGATGTTTTCATCGTGTTGTATAAACTGAAGCTGACACAAAGCTGAAGCTGAAATTTTCAATGGTAGTTTTTCTCTAGTGCGCAGAGAACTGAAATATGAAGGGGGAACTGCCCTGACTCTGTTTTCATTAGTTCACAAAGAACTGCCCTTACTCTGTTTTCTTCAGTGTACATAAGTGCATTTAGTAGAGTTACCAAGTTGATTACTCATTTTACCGTAGCATGATTACCGAGTCTTCTTTTTCAGATGGTGGTCCATCTTATATTTACCTACTTTTGTGCCATTATTGACTGGAGTTTTGGAGCTCTTATACTGGTCAGCATGTAGCAGTCGTCCGACACATGAAATTTGAATAGTGCCAAAGCCCACTCATGTGCTCTTGAGAGATACTCATGCCTTCTTTGTTTGTTTAAATTTTTCTATTCTTGACCATGCAAAGAGTGTATGTCCTACTATTTTACAATTGATAATTGGTCCATGTGTTTCTTGGTTATCTGAAATTATGATGCGGCAGGAATCTGAATTGCAGTACTTGTTGATGTATTCTTGACTGCAGAAGAAACTTCGTCATGTATTTTTTACCAATATCTATTTTTTACTGCAGAAAAAACTTTGTCACGTACTTTGACCAATATCTTTATTTTACTGCAGGGAAAACTTTGTCATGTACTGCACATCGAGTTGCGCCACTTGACGCCGATGCAGAGCACTTGATGGCAATGCATTTAAACCTACTAGTAAGTTTGCACGTGCAATGCACGTCTCAGCCAATGCTAATTTCAACAAATAGTCCTACTATGGATGACACCCGCGTAAGTAAAACATGACAAACAAGCATTCAAAGATACAAAGAAATACACTTAAAGAGCTTGAAGATGAACATAACCACTATAAACGGTTCGCTATCATCATGTAAGTTGAGGAAAATTCAAAGAACACAACGACACATCAATTTCTATCTGCACAGCTCCTCTTTGAATTGGACTTTCATCTTTCCTGCTATCTTTCTCACAACATGCTTGGCTTCAGAAAAAACGCCTAAAGTAGCCTCCAGAAAGAGCTAAACTAAAGAAGTTTTGCACATGATAAAGGTAAGAAACAAGAAAAACCAAGGCTATCCCTCGCGCCAAGCAGCCCTGAAGGCCTTAACCTTGTCCCTAATCAGCGAGAAAACCACATTAGCCGATGCCTCTTTTGCTTTAAAGGTTCACCTGTAGCGTTCTTTCCACAGATTCCAAACTGTGTCTAGGGCCCAATCCAGCGGCCTCCTTTTATTGACAACCGACACCATTGCAAATACCTTGGCCCACCACAACATAACTGAGTTCTCAATTAAACCTGCAGGCGCAATGGAAGGGGTCACCAGGGACAGCAACTGGCAGATCTGACTCGCAAAAGCACAACTTAAATGAGCCGCAGATTCAGGCATCAGGTTGCACATCTTGCACATCGGCGAGTGGGGACTTCCCCGGATCGCAAGCTGGTCAGCAATCCAGATTTTGTTCTGCACTTTGTACTTCCAGACTCTCTCAAGGCCTGGCTTCAGAATTCTCCCAATGAGCTAACTCCATATGCAGAAGCAGTCGAATACATCAGCAAAAGAAATCCAATAAATCTTATCTCTTCATCAGTTGACACATGGAAGGACTGTACAAATATTGATAGAACTTTATGTCAAAGTGCTGCAACATACAACTTATTTTCTGTATTTAAAATCATGCTTATATGAAAATATCAAAATGGGAGCTGAGCCAGTATGTATATGGCTACGACTCAATCATTTCTGAACTTCTAATCCTCTACGTACATACCATTGGTTGTAAATGAAAAATATAGCAAATTTCCTACATGCACAACCAAAGGAATATAATTCCATGATTTTTTTTGCAAGTATACCAATCCGTTATCTCTGTACCTGAAGTACATATTCAGTCAGACGGCAAGTGAACATAACTATATTAAACTGTTCATATGTCAAGTTTTGACAACATGTAAAGGAATGAAATTTCATCGGCAAAACAAAGGGTCACAACACCTCACTGTGCGGAAGCCGGTTTGGGATTTCGATCACAACATCGTGCAACTTATGCTCAGCGTTTTCGGTGGCCTGTGGTGAGGCGTAGGTGCTCAGAATGGCTGAGATGGCCCTGAAGTAGCAACGAAGGAAGCTGAGTTAGTTCAGAGTATGTGTCATCTCCAGGCTATCCCAAACTTCCATCACGAGCTACAGCCAGACTTGCACAACTGCAAAAAAAAATTAGTCGAACGGATGATCAGACGTAGGACCATTGAGCCAAGAGAAGCACCGATTACAGAGCAAGTATTATGGCTTTCAAAATTTGCAACTTGTGATTGAACAAGTGCCCTTTATAATGGAATTCGACAGTAAAGGAGCAGGCTGATAAAAAAAATTCTAGGATGGACGAACACATTCAGGATAATAAAAAGACATGGAAAAGCTGAAATTGTTCGAGGCACGCCACAAGAGGTGGAAATCTGACACTACAAAATGTACATTGTGGGGCAACACATCTCCGCTTAAATTCTGCAAGTACTCTGCAACCAATCGGAGCAACAACGGGGCGCATATCATGAAAATAGCGAGCCAGGGATGGGATGGAGGCAAAGATACATGCTCGGTATGGACAAACCGGTGAAGCTCCTCCCTAGGAAGCACTGCCGGATGCATGATTCTCGTCGCCGCCGCACGGAGAGACGCACCATCATCGCTGGCCTGGAAAGGACAAAGGTGGGGAATGAACCAGTCACCGCCGTACACTCGCTTGAGAAATCAGGCTGGGTTTGATGCATCGAGCTACAAGTACCTACCTTGCCCATCAGAAACGGTTAGGGTTCCTGGCTCGCTTGCCCACCTGCCGGCCCGCCACCGCCGCCGCCGCTGAGGAGAAGAAAGCCGCCGCCGGAGGCGCGCTAGCGAAGGAGCAAGGGCCGCCGGGAAGGACCACCGCTTGGCATGAGGACAGTAGAGACGATGGGGACGACTACCACGCCCCAGTCAGCTGCACCCATGACGGAAGATGACCTCTCATGGGCTGTCGTGATGGAAGACGACCTTGCCGGATCCCGTGGAGCAGCGCCTGCGGGAGGCGGCAAAGGGCCGGCGGGGCGGTTCCCGGGGCGACGTGCGCGGCCACCGGCGATGAAGGGCGCGGCCGCGGGAGGCGGCAAAAGGCCGGCGGGGAGGCTCCCGGGGCGACGGCCGCGGCGACCGCCGGCGGCTGCGGGAGGCGGCTCCGGGCGCGGCGACCGGCGGTGGCTATGGGAGGCGGCTCCGGGCGCGGCGGGCGGCTCCTGCGACTAACGGTGGCGCGAGGCTGCGAGAGGAACGACGGGGCGGCGAACGGCACGGGAGGAGGAGGATAGGGAGAGAGAGGTCGAGGAGGGGGCGAGAGACGTGCGGGGAGGAGGAGGCGAGAGGGGTCGTGCGGGGAGGAGGAGGCGAGAGGGGTCGTGCGGGGAGGAGGGGAGAGGTAGTGCGGTCGTGCGCGGGCAGCGTTTTTTTTAAGGGTGGGGCAGATTAGCGATCGATGGATTTGGCTTAACACGTGGTTTGTTTGTGTTAAACATTGGAGGATTAAGGACCATTAGATCTTATTGATGGATGGATCTGATTGTTTCGTTCTCCGTCCTCTTTTTCTTTTATAGGGGTAGTAGATAAAATTGCTAGCCAACTTGCCTCCACGGTGCTCCTCCAATTGGACG